TCGGATCAGTATCGGCAGTAGCGTCACTCAGAGGCATATGGGAGTGCGTGGGACATCAAACGAGCCTTGATTCGAATAGACACCTATAGGCCTTGTACGAAAGGATATCAAAAATCTATCGAGCTACGGTATGGAGAAGGTGGGGTTTTATATCAGCAGATCTGCCCTCGGCTAGTGCGTGCCCATGTTCGGATCCCTTTCGGATGTTAGTTCAGTGTGTACTCGAACCGTTACACTACCCCCCCCTCTATTGACAGCTAGTCCCGTAGCTGTTGAAAAATTTTCAATGTTTGTTTGTTTGTCTGTTTGCTTAATGTCGTTATTCTTCTATGCAGGGTCTCGGCCAGGCCCCGAACAGCCTCCGGGCCAAGGAGAATCCACTCAGCACGTGATATTAAATCCGTTTGCTCACTGAGTATATTAACAGCACGCGTCTATACTTGCTGTCACCAAAATACTAAAAAAATTCTACTCCTCCCACACATATATATACACACATCATGCTGTTGCGTTGCCCTGCTGGCGCGCTTCTGGAGGCGTACTGCCTTATCTGTCTTCGTTCAGTTCGTGCCTTTGCGCGCGGAGTCCACAATGTGGACTACTGTTTTAGTGCCGCGGGGTCCAAGAAGTACAATTATTACACTCAGCAGAAAGAGAAGTGCTCCCCTGTAAGTTTTTCAAATCCTTCTAATTATAAGACGTTACTAACTCTGATAGGTTCCGGAGTACGTCGAGGCCGAGTTCGCCGTTTTTCTCGCGGCGATGGACCTGGTGGCTGCTGCCTGCTATGGTGACGAGCCGGAGGACGACTGGTACGCTGCTAAGCAGCGTCTCGAGTCCGCCGCCTTGGATCTGGCTCGCTAGGTCTAGGTGACAAAGAGCTAGGAGAAGGAGTTGTCCGTGGTCGGGCTCCTCTCCGCCACGCACTAGGTGCTGGTGGAGATTCGGGATAGCCTGCGCCGGCTGGAGGGCCGTGTGGCGGCGGTGGAGGATGCCGTGGAGGCTGGTGGGACTTTTGTCCCAGACCCCATGGACATCAGTTCCGGGGGCGAGTCGGAGGAGGAGTCGGAGGGGGAGTCGGAGGGGGAGATAGAGGAAACTCTGTCAGTAGACCTCCGTGGTCTGGAGGATGGGGCAGGGGAGTCTTCTGACTCCCCTATTGATTAGGTGTTTGGTGTGGTGGGTGGTTGGTTGGGTCAGGTTTGTTTCTGGGGCGTTTCGGTTTTTGTTCTATACCTATTATGAAGGATTGTTTTTCTTTTCCCTATATTTAATTATCTTGCAGTGAAGTTATATCCTCTATGCCTTGCTCCCATGCCTGGATCTACTTTGGTAAGGAACGGGGAGGTCCCGGTTTTGTTGGATTTTGGTCATGGAAGGTCTTGAGCTTATGGGGTACCCCCATAAAGTTTGAGGCAGGGTACTAGGTAGGGTCCGGATCATGTCCGACCCACCTCACCCGATACTTAAGCTTCGAGCGATACACTTTACTAGCTAAGACTTCTTTAACTTCCCACTCTTCTACTCCTTGGATAGGGGTTCCTGACGGCTTGGGGGCTTCTTGTCTGGGTAAGGGATCTTGAGGGTCTTTGCAGAGTAATTCCGGAGCAAAGACGTTATGGATCTGGGACCCTTCTGGTAGCTGTAGGCGATAGGAATTTCCTACCTTTTCTAGCACCTTGAAAGGTCCCTCCCATTTATCGGATAACTTATGGCTGGGGCGATCCGTGGCGAGGTTTTTCGTGTCTAAGAAGACTCGGTCTCTAACTTCTTAGTTAATAGGACGTTGGTGTCGGTTTACTACGGTTCGCATCTGATTCTGGGCTTTCTCCATTTGTTCCTTAGCAACCTTCTAGGCAGCGTGTATTCTGGTGGCTAGGGCGAGAGCATCCCGATGGTTGAGCTTATTGGTAGGGGATAGCTTGCTCTCTTTCTGGTCCCAGTCCCAGCTCTGCCTTGGTTCGGTTCCGTATAGGATCCGGTACGGGGATATACCGATAGAAGAGTGAGGTAGGGAAATTTGGGCTCTATCGATTAGAGGGAGTAACTTATTCTAGTTATTCTGGTAGTAGGCTACGAACGGACGTAGCCTCTGATTAATATACTTATTTATAATCTCAGTCTGGCTATTAGTTTCTTTGTGGTAGGCGGTAGATAGTTTTACTTTGACGCCTAGGATCCGACAGAATTCGGACCAGAAACTGGAGATGAACTGGGGACCTCTGTCTGAGATGATGGTTTCGGGCGTGTGGCTAAAACGGTACACCTACTGAACGAATAACTCGGCTATACCTCTCGCGTTGATGGTTTTGTTGTAAGGAATAGAAATGGCCTGTTTAGATAGGCGGTCAATGACGACCATGATTATGTCGTAACCGGACCTGTCTCGGGGGAATTCTTTGAAGTTGATGCATAGGTGCTGTATCGGCCGGTCAGGAATGAGGAGGGGGTGGATTATACCTGGGACTCGGGTCTGTCTCGGATGTGCCTTACGATAAGCTATGCAATTTCGTACGTATCTTTTATAAGAAGACTCTATTCTTTTCTAGTAGTACTTCTGGGCCAGCAGCTGATAAGTTTTCTTAGCACTGGGGTGTGTAGAGGATACCTGATTATGGGCTTCCTGGATAAGACGGGTACAAAGGATAGAAGTGGAGGGGACGTATAGTCGGTCCTTATACAGAAGGAGGTCACCGCGGAGTTGGAACTTGCCTGGAAGGGTGGTCCTTTCTTCTGTAAAGGAGGAACGGTTGAGTTGTAAGACAGCTTCGATAAGTTCGAGGGAGTCTAGGGACATCGGCTCTGAGGTAGCCTTGACTACTAAAATAGAATAATAATGGATTTGCAGTTGGGCCACGTAGGCTTGAGCTAGGTCGGAGTTGATCCGGCTGTTAAGTTGGTGCGGTCCTAGTAGGACCCGCGACCTATTGTTAGTTTGGGCTATTTTGAGGTTTTCTATATCTTGTTCCCGACGAGAAAGGATGTCTGCGTGAGCATTACTCTTTCCGGGGGTGTATCGGATATGGAAATTAAAGGGGGCCAGCTCTTCGGCCCACCTTGCTTGTCTAGCGTTAAGAACCTTAGTGCTTATAAAGTATTCTAGAGAACGGTGATCTGAATAGACGTCGACCTGGGCTTGAGCTGATAGGAGCTTAGGTCGCCATTTGCTAAAGGCTGTAAGGATAGTAAATAGTTCTTTGTCGTGGATCTCTTAATTCAGTTCCGATCTGGATAGGACCTTGCTATAGAACGCTATAGGGCACTATTTGTCGTTAGGTTGTTTTTGGGATAACACACCAGCTATAACGCTATTGGAGGCGTTAGTCTCTACTTTCGTATCATACTCTGGTTGATAGTGATATAAGGTAGGTATTGAAAGGAGGGCTAATTTTAATTTTTTAAAAGCTTGATTGTAGTCCGAATCCTATACGAAGGGTCTAGAGGGACTCTGGAGAGCGAGAAGAGGTTTTGCAATTCGCGAGTATTCTGGGATGAATTGTCGGTAGAACTCTGTAAATCCTAGGAATGACTTTATAGCAGTAATAGTTGTGGGTGGTTTCCAGTCTCGCAGGGCGTCTACTTTTTCTAGGTTAACTTCTAGACCTTTGTTAGTTAAAATGTAGCCTAGGTATTTGGTCCGAGTGATATGGAATTCGCTTTTCTTGATGTTAACTTGAAGTCCAGCAGCTCGCAACCTGTCCAGTACCTTGCGGACGTGACGGACGTGGTCCGGACTGGATTTGGAGTACACCAGGATATTGTCTAGATAGACTATGCAGAAATTGTCTAGATAATTAATTAGCACATCGTTCATGTACCGCTGATACGTAGCCGGGCCGTTGTAAAGTCTAAAAGGCAATACCTTTGACTTGTACGTTCTATAGCGAGTGCGGAACGTTGTGTACTCTTCTGAGTCGGGGTCCATTTGGATTTTGTTGAAGGCCGCGCGAATATCTAGCTTCGTGAAAATCTGAGCTTTGTGCGTATGAGCTAGTAGTTCGTCTATTTGCGGTATCGGATAAGCGTCCTTTCGAGTAATAGAATTCAGCTTACGGTAATCTATATAGATGCGTAGGTCTCCGTTAGGCTTCCGAACATATAGGATAGGGGAGGCGAATGGGCAGTGACTTGAGTTAATGTACCCTTTTTGGAGATTTTCTATTACAAAAGTTTTTGTAGCTTTTAGCTCTTTAGTACTCTGCTTATAGAGAGGACTGAATTGATTTGGAAGGGGTTCTGTGAGAACGATCTTGTGGTCGTATCGACGATGTTCTGGCAGCCGATTAGCGGCTGTTTTGCTGAAAACATCTCGGTACGTATAGTAGTCGGAAGGAAGTTGGTCCTGCACTAATTTGGCATTCTTAGGGTCGTCTTGTTCTAACCTTTCTTGTAAGATTCGATCTATCTCATAGATACTAGTCGTGAAGAAATCGTTTTCCTTCCGTTTCATGGTGTAATGGAAAGTATTGGCGGAAATAACCGCTATGCGAGGTGAGGTAGGTTTTGGCGCCGGAGTCCGGGGTGACTCTGGTTTAGGTGGTAAAGGCGGCGGAAGGAGACGTACCTTAGGAATTTTGATGAGTTCTTGAATTTGCTGGACTAGCTCTTGTCGAGGGCTGGTTTGTCTACGGTACTTATCCTTTTCCTAAAGGGCGTCTCTACGCCGGATATCTAGTTGCGCATTGGTATTAGAATAGGGTGATTTTAACTGCACGAGGAGAGGGGGGCTAGGATTATAAGTTAGGGGGTATTGAGCTGGCTATACGATTCGGTTCCGAGCGGTATCGAGCTTCAATTGGAATCGTCGCATCTATTTGATCCTAATAATACAATCCTGAGATCCTAAATCTATAATTATAAAGGGGCAGTTAAGAATCTTTCTTCCGTTAATACGGATGTATAACTGGATATACTTGTCTACCTGGGTCTGTACCTGATCGTGAAATCCTTTAACTGTAATTTTAAAAGGTAGTCTACGGATAGGTACCTGGAGAGAGCCGGATATAGAAAGGGTAATAGTAGAATTTAAGAAAAGAAAACCTTGGGCTCTAGTATTAACTAGAGATTCTAAGCTAACCCTATAACCCTTCGAACATAAAACGGTGGGGGTACGGAAATGTTTACCTCCGAATAAGTTTGATAGATCTATTTTCGCAAGGTTATACTTGTTTATGCCTAGGCTGGAGCGTTTCCCTAGGCCTCGTCGTTTCCCGACCGAGTCTCATCCGAATGATACTTAAGGGCGTCCTTATAATCTTCTATCTCTGCTTGAATTTCCCTTACCCGCGGGACTGGATAGTTATTGGCGTAGTGGCTAGGCTTGCCGCAGTGGTAGCAATTGCCGGGAGTGACATTGTCTGGTGTGGGAGTTTTCGATGCTGGTCTGGGAGTGGAGGAATAGGCGCGGTATGGAGTTGGGGCCGGGTCGGGTCTAGTATCGTAGGTACGGGGTCGAAACTCCCGATTTGGCCGTGGATTTTGTTTTGTTGAGAGAGCTAAAGCTTGACTAGGCCTAGTCTCTGAGTAGGTACCGAGTGGTGCGTTTCTTCTTTCTATATTAAAAGCCGTTAGGTGCTGAACTATTTTTTTAAATGAGCCTGCCCACAGATGCTTAAATCCTAAGTTTGGGGCTCGTAGCGCTGGTGTGATCTTCTCCTAGAGGTAGAAGAACTATTCTGGTCTTGATACGGACCCTTTTACGGCTGCACTAATAAAGTGCGCTTTGAATTCTGTAAAGGTCTCCTTTCTTCCTATTGACAGGCGGTGGAAAGCTGCTCGGCTCTCCGCCTGTTCATTTCCAGATATAAAATATGATTTGAGTAATAAAATTATATCCTCGGCAACTAGGAACCGTTCCTCCTCTG